GAGGGACGGGAGGGGCTGGGGGGAAGGGGAGGCTGGAGGAGCAAGGGGAGCAGGGGGCTGGCATCCAGGAGGAACTGTGTCCGTGACAGGAGCAGGCAAGGTGAAGACCTCCTGAATTGTGGCACAGATGACATCGTTGGACTAGTTCATCCAGCAGCCTGGTGCGCCACTCGACCTCTGCCTGTCCGCTGCTGGAAGGTCCTGTTGAGGTCCTGCAGGGCCATTACATGCTCCCTCATCAGGTCCGTGTAGACATGCCAGGGTTCGGGATGGTGGTGGGGCAGGTGTGCTGCTCCCCTGTTGGGTAGAGGGTCCGGCTGTGGAGGGAAAGAGGAGGAGACGATCAATGTCAGTGTGTCCCTGAGGACATGCCGTGGTTGTCAGGGGCTCTCCTTTTGACAGGAGACTCAGGGGTGCTACATGTGACACCGTGTGTGAGTTGGGCAGCAGCCTAAAAGCCTCACAGGGGCCCCAAAGTGGCAATGGGACTAGCTGGCCTCCCACTTGCCAACCCACCCGGGTGTGGTGCCCCTCAAAGCATTCACCTGATGTTCCCGCCCCAATATCCATGAACACCTGGGAGGCCTCTGGGGTCTGGAGGACCAGCTCCTGGGAGAGGCTCCTTTCTGCCTCCTCCTCCTCCTCCTGTTGCAGCTCTCCCACCTCTCCTGCCTGGTCTTCCTCCCTCAGGAGGGGTCGGTCCACGATGTGGTGGGGTAATCCAGACTCCACCACACGTAGTGGAGTCTGGGCTTCCCCACTACCCAGGATCTGCTCCAACACCTGGTAGTAAGGGCAGCTGTGTGGGGCTGCCCCAGAGCGGGAGCTCTGGTCCCAGGTCCTGGCATATTCCTGCCGCAGCTCTTTTACCTTGGCCCTGACTTGCTCCATAGTGTGGGGGTGATGCCCTTTGGGGGTCAGTCCCTGGGCCATGTGCTTGTAGACATCTGCGTTCCTGCGGTGTGTCTGCAGGGCCTGCAGGGTTTCTTCCTGGGACCAGAGCTCCCGCAGGTTTTTAATTTCTGGCCCTGACCAGGCTGGTGCCCGCCTTTTGGTGCCCTTGGGTGGGTTCTCCTCACCAGGGGGGGCCTTGAGGCTGGGACATGAATAGCTCAACAGGCACAGGTGCTCTGGCTGGCTTCCTGATAGCAAGGCCTGACTGGGTGCTTGTGCCTTTAAGAGGCTGCGGCCAGGAACCACAGAGGTGCTCTACATGTAAAGGCTGGACTGTCCACCAAGGCTTCTTCCTGGAGTCTTTTTTTTTTTTTTGTCAGAACTTGCTCCCTGAGTCCACACACACCTTTTCTGGACAGATGTCTGTCGAAAAAGGCGTTCTTCCTCGTAAAATGAGGTTTACCGCTGTCGACAAAACCACCTCGTTCTTTCGATTGACTGTCCAAAGAACATGGCGGGAGTCTAGACGCAGGTAAAGTTTTTTCAAAAAGATCATGTTATCTAGACACACCCAGAGGCAATAGATGAAGGCAGCCCTGATCTCATCAGGTACCCACATCCCTTGTTACAATACAGACACATGTATAATAACAACATAATAATGATCAATACCACCACAGGCTGTATGAAATGACATCACTATGAGCTGGGAACTGAATTCACCTGTTGCCACTCCCTATCACTCATCCAGCACAGAGATGAACAGTTTCAGGGACTGGTTAGGAGTTTGTTCATGGTTTTCCTCAGGGAGTCCTTCACCTCCCTGTTCCTCAGGCTGTAGATGAGGGGGTTCAACATGGGGATCACCAGAGTGTAGAACACTGAGGAAACTTTGTCGGTGTCTGCGGAAGGGCTGTAGGTGGGTTGGAAATACATGAAAAGGATAGTGAAATAGAATACTCCGACTGTGATCAAGTGACAAGCGCAGGTGGAGAAGGCTTTGTACCGGCCCTCGGCAGAGCGGATCCGCAGGATGGTGGTGAAGATATAGACATAGGAGAGGAGAATGATCACAACGCTGAGTATTACAGTGTAGCACATAGAAGCCAACTGCACAATGTCACTGATGCGGGTGTCAGAGCAGGAGAGTGCCAGCAGTGGGGGCATTTCACAAAAGTAATGCCTGATGATGTTGGAGTGGCAGAATGACAGGCGGAATGTAGAACACGTAAGTATAAATGCATCCACCAACCCCACAGCCCACACCCCAGCCACCAGCTGGTCACAGCGCTGGCTGGACATGGTAACCATATAGTGCAGCGGGTTACAGATGGCCACATAACGGTCATAGGCCATCACAGCCAGCAAGAGACACTCAACATCTGGAAGTAATACAGAAAAATACATTTGCACAGCGCAGGCCTCGTAAGAAATGCTTTTCCTCTCGGCTAAGAAATTCTTCAGCATGTTAGGGGCAATTACTGAGGAATAGCAGAGATCACAAACAGACAAACTCCGGAGGAAATAGTACATGGGGGTATGAAGTCGGGGGTCAATTGTGATTAACAAGATCATCCCCCCATTCCCCACCAAAGTGATAACATAAATCAGTAGGAACAACACAAACAGAGGGACCTGTAGCTCTGAACGATCTGTCAGTCCTAAGAGAATGAACTCAGTCACCACCGAATGATTTCCCTCTTCCATCTCCTCTGAGCAGAGATCAGGCAGCTACAGGGAAGTGGGCAGGTGGAAGGCTCGGGAAAACTAAAGTTAGCTGTAATGAAGTAAATGCAGAAAAGTGGAAATCAGTTCCTTAATAGGCACCAGCGCAGGAAAGGACTTGGTCCTCAGAGCCAGATGTTCACAGCTGGTCAATCCACTTGTTTGATTAGTTTCACACACTGTACCCATATAAGGATACGCAGGTTAATCATGCCACAAACACTCCTGTACACTGATCCGAGCAGCAAACAGGGACTTGTGACTCTGCTGTGGGAGAATCAGGGTGAAACAATCTTAGTGTGATGAAATCGTTCCTTAGCTGAAGAACACGTGTGAGAAAATGAGTGTTGGTCCTTCCACCCTCTTTGGGCAAGGGGAGCTCTGTGGTTCGGCATGTTGGTTTGGGGTGAAATTTGCTCACTGTCATAATTAAACTCTCTGGCATCTGATAGCGGCATTTACATTAGTCGCTATGAAACCCCTGAGACACACAGGAAGGCATCAGCTTCTGTGATACCCAATAGTCAATATTTTCCAAACAAAGGCTTTGTTCCTTTAAGTCAATGGATTGGAGCTAGGACTGAGAGTTTTAGTGCTGGAGGACTTCATCTCTGTGCCTGCCAATCACAGTGCTGGTATGGGTGTGTGCCTCTAATGAAGCACAACAGCACGTACTTACTGACAGGAGAGAGAGACGTGGCGGCGTTTCTCCATTGACGGAAACTGACTCTTTGTGCACTTGGGAGTTTTATACCGAGATCCGTGTTCTATGGGACATGATCTCTGAAGCCACAGGGAATACCTGAGCTCAGAGACACAACAGCTAATTAATGAGCTCAGTGAACCTCAGCCGTGGAGCTGATACCCTGGGGATTAATTTGGTTCCCTCTTTCCTCCTGTGTCAGTAAATGATGCAATTTCTATCAGAGTTGCAGTGTCCAAGCCTGAGGGATATTTTATTCTGCTCTTGTCAGTGCAAGCTGGGTCCTGTGTAGAGCTGACCCAGAAAGGGTGTGTTTGGTGAGACCAACATCTTTTGTCTGAGAAGTTAATATTCCAGCTCAGAAACAAAACACACAGGGATGCCCCAGGTACCACGTCCCCCCCTTCTCTGTCATGGGCCCAGCTCCCAGGCTGGACTCCATCCCCTCTGAGGCATGACCCTCTGTCACCCTGCAGAACTTCCCTGGGACATCTCTTGTGTCCCCCATGTAGTAGTAAGAGGGCCTGACAATGGAGGCCTGGTGGGAGGTCTAAGGCATGAACAACAGCCAATGCTTTGCTAACATAAAGCAGAGCTAAACTGCGAGCAACAGGCAGATACTGCTCACAGAGACTTGGCAAAGACAAGGCTGCTGCTATTACAGAAACACACACACCTAGGAGGTACTGGGAACAGGCTGTGCACATAAACATTCCAGGAGGATGGTAAGAGAAAATTTCACTGTAGAAACAACTCAGTACCAGCACACTCCCCATAGAAAACAGGGAAAAACTGACCCAGATTCAGCACTGGGTCAGGGTGGCAGCATGATGGATCGCGATATTTTGATCAAACCACCCTAAACAAGGTAATGGGAGGTGTCTAGGTATGTCGGGGGTGTCAACCTACTATGTTTAAGGGTGGCACCTTGATACATACAATGTGTAACTTGTTAGTGTCTGTGTATAAAAGTGTATCTAAGAAGGGCTGTCTTGTCCAGCCTAGGGCACAGCGAAAACTCCTGGCCGCTATCTGAATTGAGTGCATTGCATGGGCTTTCGTATGTACTACCGTAAACTGTTGGCGTGTGTCTAGACTACAGGGTTTTGTCGACAAAAGTGGACTTTGTCGACAAAACTATACCTGCGTCCACACTGCCTTTGAGTTATGTCGACATAACGTCGACAAAACTCAGCAGTTTTGTTGACGTATGTAAACCTCATTCTACGAGGAATAACGCCTTTTATCGACATAGTTCTGTTGATAGAAGGTATTATTGCATCTACACTGTCCTTTGCGTCCACACTGTTATGCGGCTTGCTTTGTCGACAGAACTGGATGTAGTCTAGACACTCATTGTCGACAGAAGTTTTGTCGACAATATCTGTCGACAAAACTTCTGTTGACAAAACCCTGTAGTCTAGACATACCCTTGATGTCTGGCCTAGACGCCCAGGGTGCTAAAGACTGTAAGTCATTTGACAATAAACCTCGTTCCAGGGCCTTCACACCTTGTCTGAGTTGTGGTCATTGGGGGCTCTTAGAAGTCTGTGGTGTTGGCTACCTGCACAGAGTCCACACAGCATTTGGAAGGAGCACAAGTATTCGGAGAGAGCACACGCCCCGCATGCAGCCGAACGGATATCAACACTGAAGGGCATAGAACAGATGCCAGAGCACCACACCGGTGATGGAGTCTGACTACATCGCTGCCACACTTTGGTGAGGAGGAGAATTTGCTTTTTGGACAGCAAAGAATTCCATGAAAAACCCGTTGAAATGAAAATCTGAATTTTCTATAAAAAAAGGTTTTTGTAACTTTGCCCTGGGTTTGGAATCAAAGGGACAAATAGGCCCACCTCCAGACATGGTTGGCCTGACTCCTGCCCTGACAGAAAGGACGGTGCAGGGAATCTTGTGGCAAGGACCAGTGCAGAAGCTGCACACAACAGTGAAAATTTGGGGAGCGTGTGCTCTGGTTCTTCCCCATTTGGCCATGCTCCTGCCCATCATCCTTGCTCGATACAGTGACCAAGGCACAAAATGGAGCCAGCAGTTAGTGGAACTATCCACATGCAGTGTTGGTTCGTTTTTGTTTTTTTTATAGCCAGGAATTTTGGCTGTGAACTAAACAGCTGTCTGTGGAGGGGTAAAGTGGTGCTATTGAAAGGAGTCATCCAACCCACAACTGAATTATTTATTGGTTGAGTTTTTTATTATCCACTCTTGTTAGTTCTTTTTCATTGTCGTAAATGGGGTTTCCCCCCCCCCCCCCCCGCAAATTGTAAAGTTCTATCCATGTCCTTCACGGTGTCCTGGGTTATGAAGCTCCCTCAACACCTGCTTTTCAGAGTCAAGAAGGTTTTCCAGTTGCCCAAAGAGGAGGCAATTGCCATGAACATGGTGATGTTGGGTGGGATGTGACTTTTTTCTGTTTATTTCACTTTTAGGAAGAAAACCCCACTCCTGAATGCCATTTTGGTATTCAGTTCAATGCAAACTGTCCAAGAGGATGGCCACAAACACTGTTCTCTCACCGGAACATTATATTTGTTCCTACATCTACTGCAGTGCTCTTAACCTGTAACACTGGCTATGCTGATGGACAGCATCTTTCCACACTTGGTGCATGGACAACGCACCAGGTAGGGAGAAGAGGGAGATGGCTGAGGTGCCCCACATCTCTGCCAACACAGAGCACTGAGCACGTGCAAAGCACATCACATGTATTTGTATATTTATACATGAGCTTATGGGTACCTTTGTAACTCAATAGCCTACTGGCAAAGAGTCGAAAGTCAGGTGAAGCAAATCCTGCCAGACCTGACACATTCACTGCACCCAATGTGTTGCTGGGATGGGTATTGATCTGCAAAGAAAATTGGGTAAGATCGCAAATAGAAACAGATCAAACTGGCCTTCAAAAGCCTGCTGTGACAGAACCATAACAGAGCTCTGGCCAGGTACCAGTAACATGCTCAAACCGTGCAACCCAGTTGGCCAAGTCAAACAACGTTTGTTTGCTTTGGGAGGGCAGCAGGCCACCAGCCATCTCCACCAAAGCTGAATCCTGATAAATACAAAGCTGGAACCCATCTGTCTCTCTGGTGTGTTGCCAAGGTTCAAACAGGTGTTAGAATTATAGGAATGACTTTAAAATTTAGACTATTCAAAGCTTGGAAGTTGCTCCTGGCATTAATATCACATATAGCCCCTCCAGTACCACTTACTGGGAGGAGGAAGGGGGCCCCTTTTTTAGGTGGCTAAATGATTTTAGAAAGTTAAGGCCGCAAGGGTTCCCCCAACAAAACTGGACCCTCTGTCCGGTTCTATGACAGCCAGCATCTTTCATCCGGTGTTGTGCCTCCCTCTTCCCTTAATGAATCAGACAGGACATTTCGTTGTATGTAAACCGAACATATGGAAAATTGATTTAGGGCTAATGTATAAAAATAGGGAATTCAATGGGTAAGCAGAAGTTGTTCAAAACCAAAAGACCAATTTACCCTGTACAGTAGTCAGTCCCCAGAACCCACTGAACAAAAGAGCTTTTGGCTGAGTTTAAAGGATAAGGTAAGTATGACAAGTTTACAGAAACCTTTTTGAAAGTTCCCAAGACAGATACTCAGGATCACAGGTCTCATGGCTCCTAGGGAGCCTTGAGAGAGGAACACTGAGGAGAACCCTCGTAGTCTTCGCTGCTGCAGCTGGAAGGTCACTGGCAAGGTTACTCTCTGTCTGGTGGTGTATGTGGAGTCTTCAATATGGCTGCATCTGTCTGGTGTATACTCTAGGGGTGCATCTAGATTACTTTTTTCTTTCGAAAGAAGAAATGCAAATTTGGCAGTAATTTGCATATCTTCTTCTTATCACTTTTTTGAAAGAGTTCTTTTTCAAAAAATCAAGTAGTTCAGATGCGGTTCTTTCGAAACCACCCCCTTTCTTTCGAAATAACCTTCTTCCTCAAAAAGTGAGGTTTACAGGTTCTTTCAAATCAAGATTTTTTTTGAAAGAACCACATTTAAACTGCTTCCTTTTTTGAAAAAAAAAAACCCTCTTTCGAAAAAGCGGTCAGAGGAAGATATGGAAATTACCGCCAAATTTGCACGTGTTCCTTCAAATGAAAAATGTGGTCTAGACACACCCTACATGATCTGAAAGGAAAACCCTGCACAACCTGCCACTAGGATGGGTAGCCCCTAGCTGTTCGGCTTCCAGCCTCTTATACAGTCTTAGCAGGATACCCCTGCGAGGGAAACCCTGTGGAATCTGCCCCTGCAGGGAAACCCCGTTGGATCTTCTGAGGTAATTCTGGTTCTAACTGGAACTTGTTTACCTCTCTGCTGTAAAAAGGCGGGAAAACCTTTGCCTGTAAGATCCAGTGTCTCGGGACTGACCTTCCATTTTTTTTCAAAATGGCTGCCCTATCCTACATTTAAACATTACAACCTAGGATTTTTACCCTGAACAATCTCCTCCTTGAAGGATATATTCCTTCACAAAACTAACTAACCATTCATCCTAGGGTTTTCTGATCAAAACACGGATTTAACCTTTTGTTGATTCTTTGTTTTCACAGGTTTACTATATATACAACCAGTTAATACAATTAGGTAAATTAAGATGGACCCTTGAATAAGCAATAACGCAGCAATAGGGTGCAATAAAATTACCCAAGCAGATCTAACTTCTCCCAGATTGTTGGTGAAAATCATTTTTCACCACGGGGAAGCTTTGGTCTCTGCCTTTATCTTCTTGGTAACACTTTTTATGTGACCCATGAGATGTTGTACTATAATTAATGTACTTAAACCTTCATGCTCGAGTTGTTGCAAATACTCAGCAAATTTCTTATGTATTAATAACTTTTTCAAAGCCTCCAAGTCAGTACCTATATGTATAGGATGTAAAGCATTGTATCATTTATATACCTTAAAAAAATCTTCTACCTCAACACCATGCACTGATACATTTACATCACATGCTTGCAACCTTAGTACCTGGCACAAACACAGATTCCCCACACCTGTGTTGGAAACATAGGATTGGTTTACGACATGGGAACTCAAAAAGGCCCAGAGCTCTCAGCTGCTGCCACTGCTACTACGGAAGTAGTGGCCTCTCGTTTCCCAAGGCTCCGCCCCTTCTTCCAAGGCCACGCCCTCTTTACCCAAGTCTCCACTCCTTTTTGGAGCACAGAGTCAGTACCCTGCACCTTGCCCAGGGGCTGAGAATTCTGTTGTTACTTCTGAGTACCTCCACCTCATGTCACCTGTTCCATATTTGAGTGACTTTGTCCACCCAGCTGGTCATGTAAGAACTTCTCCTAAACAGCAAGTGCTAGGGCCAGAATATTCAGCACACAGTTTCCTCTTACCCTAACTTAGAGCAAGGTCAGGGTTTGGTTGTGACAGGATAATGGGATGTACCTGGAATGGGACTGCTTCCCAGAAACCATGCAGAAAAGAGATAGGCAGGTGAAAGGGGCTGGCTGGGAATGCAGCCTCCCCCTGTCTGGGACTGCTCCAACCCTGATCTTCTCACCCTGAGGCACCTTAAGAAAGAGTGGGGAGGTGATAGTCACACCCTGGATCTGACCCAGCTGGTAGACATGCATCCCTCCCACACTGTACCCTCTGGAGCTGCAGAGGCCATGGAGAGGCGTTTCTTACCTGACCCTAAGCTGCTGAAGTGAGAGAAGGTCTGGTGTTGTCCTCTTTCTGCTCAGGACAACATGCACACTCAACCCATCCTCCCCAGCCCCACCCCAGAGCAATGATTTAAATGAAGAAAAACTAAAAGAAATTGAGCTAAGGACCTAAGCAATGCTGAGTAAATCTTCTACTAATGTTATTCTGAGGCCACAGCTCCACTCCTGGAAGATTCATAGTTTCACAGAGTTAGGTGTGTTAATTGGTAGCTGAAAAATCCAAAGAAACAACAAATTCCTTCATGATATAACATTAGTTTAATCCACATAGTAGAGAAAATTTCCACTTTTCATGCTTTTCTGCATTCTGTTCAGTGCAGACTGTTACAGAGGAGGCACACACTGTGCTCTCTCTCGCTAATGTTACGCTTGTTGTTCCTTGTTTTGTGGTTACCTTCATATAAAATTCAGCTTAGGGTGGTGGAAATCACCTTTCCCCTCCTCATGGCCGGGCACGAATCAGGTGACAAGAACCGCACGGAGCACAGAAAGAGCTGCAGAATAGCAGAACGGTGTGTAATTCCCTTCGGTTCACCCACAGAAAATAAACATGTCACCTTTGGAACTGCCCAATGAAATCAACACCAGCAGAAAGAAGAGGGAAAGATTAGTTGTTCTTCCTTGCACCTAATACAATCAGTTCCCTTCCTTCTTTAAAACAATAGCAACACAGGCTGTGTGAAATTATATCGCTCTGGGCTGGGAACTGAATACAACTGTTTCCACACCCCATCATTCAACCAGCACAGAGATGAACAATTTCAGGAACTGGTTAGGAGTTTATTCATGGCTTTCATCAGGGAGTCCTTCACCTCCCTGTTCCTCAGGCTGTAGATGAGGGGGTTTAACATGGGGATCACCAGCGAGTAAAACACGGAGGCAGTTTTGTCGGTGTCTGTGGAAGAGCTGTAGGTTGGTTGGAAATACATGAAAAGAAGAGTGAAATAGAATATTCCCACTGTGATCAAGTGACAAGCACAGGTGGAGAAGGCTTTGTACCGGCCCTCGGCAGAGCGGATCCGCAGGATGGTGGAGATGATGCAGACATAGGAGAGGAGAATGATCACAACACTGAGTATTAGAATGTAACACGTGGAAGCCAACAGCACAATGTCACTGATGCGGGTGTCAGAGCAGGAGAGCGCAAGCAGTGGGGGAATTTCACAATAGAAATGCCTGATGATGTTGGAGCGACAGAATGAGAGGCGGAAGGTACAACACGTTGTAATCATTTGATCCACCAACCCCACAGCGCACACACCAGCCACTAGCTGGTCACAGCGCTGCCGGGACATAGTGACCGTATAAAGCAGCGGGTTACAGATGGCCACATAACGGTCATACGCCATCACAACTAGCAAAAGACACTGACCATCTGAAAATACGCCACTGAGATACATTTGCACAGCACAGGCAGTGCGAAAAATGCTTTTCCTCTCGGCTAAGAAATTCTGCAGCATCTTAGGGACAATTACAGATGAATAGCAGAGATCACAGAAAGACAAACCCCGGAGGAAAAAGTACATGGGGATGTGGAGTCGGGGGTCTATTGTGATTAACAAGACCATCCCCCCATTTCCCACCAGGGTGACAACATAAATCAGTAGGAACAACACAAACAGGGGGACCTGCAGCTCTGGACGATCTGTCAGTCCTGAGAGAATGAACTCAGTCACCTCCGAGTGATTTCCCTCTTCCATCTTCTCTGAGCCGCGATCAGGCTGTTCCAGAGTTGTGGGAAGGGGGATTAGTTTGGAGAATCTGTCTTTCACTGTAATGAAGTTAAGTTAAGAGAAGTGGAGGTCAGTTTCATAACAGGTAGCCCTACCCCAAGGTAGGACTCAGTCCACAGATCCGAATGTTCACAGCTGGTCATTCCACTTGTTTGATCAACATCACACACTGCACACATACAGGGACATGGAAGTTAATCATCTCCCACACTCACAAACTCTCCTGATCAGCTCTCCTGAAAACTGATTCAAACAGCACACAGGGACTTTTGACTCTGCTGTGGGAGAATCAGTGTTGAACCATCTCCGTGTGAGGAGATTATTGTCTAGCTGAAGAAGGGCAGAGCGTAAACGAGTGTCAATCTCTCTAACGTGTACTGACAAGGGAAGCTCTGCAGCTCTGCATGTTACTTTGGGGTGAAACTTGCTCACTGTGATAATTAAGCTCTTTGGCGTCTGATAGCAGCATTTACATTAGTCTCTATGAAACCCCTGAGACACAAAGGGAGGCGTTGGCTTCTGCGAGTACCTAATAGTCAATTGTTTTTGTCCAAAGGTCTCGTTCCTTTAGCTCAGTGGGTAGGAGCTGGGACTGAGGCTTTTAGTGCTGGAGGACTCCAATTCAGTGCCTACTAATCACGGTGTCCCTATGGGTGTGACTGACACAGGACAACAGCACGTACCTGTGGACAGCAGAGAGAGATGTGGCAGTGTTTCTCCATCGACAGAAACCGACACTTTGGTGCAATTGGGAGGTTTTATACTGAGATCTGTGATCTATGGGACAGGATCCCTGAAGCCCCTGGGAATACCTGAGCCCAGAGAGGCACAACAGCTAATTAACGAGCAAAGGGAATCTGAGCCACTCAGCTGATACCCAGGGGATTAATTTGGTTCTCTCTTTCCCCCCATGTCCATTATTATGCAATTTCTATCAGAGTTGCAGTGTCCAAGCCTGAGGGATATTTCATTCTGATCTTGTCATTGCAAGCTGGGTCCTGTGTAGAGCTGACCCAGAAAGGGTGTGTTTGGTGAGACCAAAATCTTTTGTCTGAGAAGTTAATATTCCAGCTCAGAAACAGAGACACAGGGATGCCCCAGGTATCACGTCCCCGCCCCCTTCTCTGCGATGGGCCTGACTCCCAGGCTGGACTCCATCTCTTCTGACGCAGGAGGGTCTGTCGTCCTGCAGAACTATCCCGGGACATCATTAGTGTCCCACCGCCACATTTTGGTGAGAAGGATAACTTGGTTTTTGGATGGCAAAGAATTCCTTGAAAAACCAATTAAAATAAAGGTCTGACTTTCCAATAAAAGAAATCTTTTCATGAAAAATTTCCAGGCAGCCTTAGCCACAGGTTTGGAATGAAATGGACAAACAGGCCATTTCACAGTCAATAGTTCTATCCAGGGTTAGTTCTATCCATGTCCTCTTCACAGAGCCATGAGTTCTGGAGCTCCCTGAACACCTGCTCTTCAGAGACTACCATGCTTTCCAGTAGCTTATGGAGGAGGCAATCACCATGAACACGGTGATGTTAGGTGGGACATGACTTTTTTCTGTTTATTTCACTTTTAGAAGGAACACCCCAACCCTGAATGCTATTTTGGCATTCACTTTAATGCAGACTGCCCAAGAGGATGCCCACAAACACTTCTCTCTGATAGGAACTTTATATTTGTTCCTACTTCTACTGTAGGGCTCTTAACACATAACACGGGTCATTCTGATGAACGACATCTTCCACACTTGGCGCATGGACAATGCACCAGCTAGGGAGAAGCAGGAGATGACTGAGGTGCCCCACATCTCTGCCAACACAGAGCACTGAGCACGTGCAAAGCACATCACATGTAGTTGTATATTTATACATAAGCTTACGAGTACCTTTGTAATTCAATAACCTACTGACAAAGAGTCCAATGTCAGGTGAAGCAAATCCTGCCAGACCTGACACATTCACTGCACCCAATGTGTTGCTGGGATGGGAATTGATCTGCAAAGAAAATTGGGTAAGATCGCAAATAGAAACAGATCAAACTGACCTTGAAAAGCCTGCTGCGATGGAACCATGACAGACCTCTTGCCAGGTACCAATAACATGCTCAAACGGTGCAACCCCGTTGGCCAAGTCAAACAATGTTGATTTGCCTTGGGAGGGTGGCATGCCAACAGTCAGCTCCACCAAAGCTGGACCCTGATACATACAAAGCTGGAAGCCATCTGTCTCTCTGGTGTGTTGCCAAGGTTCAAACAGGTGTTAGAATTATAGGAATGACTTTATAATTTAGACTCTATCAAACCATTGGAAGTTGCTGTTGGCATTAATATCATGTATAGCCCCTGCAGTGCCACTTACTGGGAGGGCAAAGGGAGCCCCTTTTTTAGATGGCTGAATGATTTTAGAAAGATAAGGCCATAAAGCTGCCCCCACACAAAACTGGACCCTCTGCCCGGTTTTGTGACCGCCTGCATCTGTCATCTGGTGTTGTGCCTCCCTCTTCCCTTAATGAATCAGACAGGACAATTCGTTGTATGTAAACCGAACATATGGAAAATGGATTTAGGGAAAATTTACAAGAATAAGGAATTCAACGGGTAAACAGAAGTTGTTCAAAACCAAAAGAACAATTTACCTGTACAGTAGTCAGTCCCCAGCACTCCCTGAACAAAAGAGCTTTCGGCTGAGTTTAAAGGATAAGGGAAGTATGACAAGTTTATAGAAACCGTCTTGAATGTTCCCAAGACGGACACTCAGGACCTCAGATCTCATGGCTCCTAGGGAGCCTTGAGAGAAGAGCACTGAGGAGAACCCTCATAGTGTTCCCTGCCGCAGGTGGAAGGTCACTGGCAAGGTTGCTGTCTGTCTGGTGGTGTATGTGGAGTCTTCAGTATGGCTGCAGCTGTCTGGTCTCGAGTCTAGGGATGCATCTAGACTACGTTTTTCTTTCGAAAGAAGACATGCAAATTTGGCAGTAATTTGCATATCTTCTTCCGACAGCTTTTTCGAAAGAGTTTTTTGTTAAAAAGCAAGTAGTTTAAATGCAGTTGTTTTGAAAAAAAAAACACATTTTTTTCCGAAAGAACCTTCTTCCTCAAAAATTGAGGTTTACAGGTTCTTTCAAAAAAAGTTTTTTTCTGCTTGCTTTTAAAAAAAACCCTCTCTTTCGAAAAAGCGGTCGGAAGAAGATATGCAAATTACTGCCATATTTGCATATCTTCTTTCGAAAGTAAAACATAGTCTAGATGCACCCCTAGACTCGACACCAGATAGCAGCAGCCATACTGAAGACTCCACATACCCCACCGGACAGACAGCAACCTTGCCAGTGACCTTCCAGCTTCAGCGGGGAAGACTACAAGGGTTCTCCTCAGTGCTCCTCTCTCAAGGCTCCCATGAGATCTGAGGTCCTGAGTATCTGTCTTGGGAACTTTCAAAAAGGTTTCTATAATTACCGCCAAATTTGCATATGTTCTTTCAAATGAAAATGTGGTCTAGACACACCCTAGATGACCTAAAAGGAAAACCCTGCACCACCTGCCACTAGGATGGGTAGCCCCAAGCTGTTCGGCTTCCAGCCTCTTATAGAGTCTTAGCAGGATACCCCTGCGAGGGAGACCCTGTGGAATCTGCCCCTGCAGGTAAACCCTGTAGGATCTTCTGAGGTAATTCTGGTTCTAACTGGAATTTGTTTACCTCTCTGCTGTAAAAAGGCGGGAAAACATTGGCCTGTCAGACCCAGTGTCTCGGGACTGACCTTCCACTTTCTTTTTCAAAATGGATGCCCTATCCTACATTTAAACATTACAACCTAGGATTTTTACCCTGAACAATCTCCTCCTTGAAGGATATATTCCTTCACAAAACTAACAAACCATTTATCCTAGGGTTTTCTGATCAAACACGGATTTAATCTTTTGTTGATTCTTTGTTTTCACAGGTTTACTATATATACAACCAGTTAATAAAATTAGGTAAATTTACATGAACCCTTGAATAAGCAAGAACGCAGCAATAAGGTGCAATCAAATTACCCAAGCAGATCTAATTTCTCCCAGATTGTTGGTGAAAATCATTTTTCACCACGGGGAAGCTTTGGTCTCTGCCTTTATCTTCTTGGTAACACTTTTTATGTGACCCATGGCGTGTTGTACTGTACTTAATGTACTTAATCCTTCATGCTCAAGTTGTTGCAAATACTCAGCAAATTTCTCATTTATTAATAGCTTTTTCAAGGCCTTCAAGTCAGTACCTATATGTATAAGATGTAAAGCATTGTATCATTTATATACCTTAAAAAAATCTTCTACCTCAACACCATGCACTGATACATTTACATCACATGCTTGCAACCTTAGTACCTGGCACAAACAAAGATTTCCCACACCTGTGTTGGAAAGAAAGGATTGGTTTACGACATGGGAACTCAAAAAGGCCCAGAGCTCTCAGCTGCTGCCACAGCTACTACGGAAGTAGTGGCCTCTCGTTTCCCAAGGCTCTGACCCTTCTTCCAAGGCCACGCCCTTTTTACCCAAGTCTCCACTCTTTTTTGGAGCACAGAGTCTTAGGAGAGAGTGGGGAGGTCACACCCTGGAGCTGACCTAGCTGGGGGACATGCACCCCTCCTTCACTGTGCCTCCTGGAGCTGCAGGGGCAATGGAGAGGTGTTTCTCATATGACCCTAAGCTGCTGCAGTGAGAGAAGGTCTGGTGTTGTCATCTCGCTGCGCAGGACAACCTGCACACTGAACCCCTCCTCCCCAGCCCCACTCCAGAGCAATGATTTAAATGAAGAAAAAGAAAAAGGTTTTGAGCTAAAAACCTAAGCAATGCCTAGTAAATCTTCTAGTAATGATATATCTGAAGTCACATCACCACTTATTGGAGGATTCAAAGTTTCACAGAGGTAGCCATGTTAGTGTGTAGCTGTAAAATCCAAAGAAACAACAAATATCTTTTCTAGCCCCACTAAAGTGAACCCCAGAGGATCGATCACCAGAACTTCATCTGAAGACTTGGGTTGAGCCGGAAAGCTCATGATACCATCTTCATTTTTGTTACCCTCTAAGTCGCTGAAGGAATATTTGGTATCAAGTATCAGAGGGATAGCTGTGTTAGTCTGAATCTGCAAAAGCGGCGAGGAGTCCTGTGGCACCTTATAGACTAACTGAAGTGTAGGAGCATAAGCTTTCGTGGGCAAAGACCCACTTCGTCAGATGCATGGGTCGGATGAAGTGGGTCTTTGCCCACGAAAGCTTATGCTCCTACACTTCAGTTAGTCTATAAGGTGCCACAGGACTCCTCGCCGCTTTTGCAGATTCAGACTAACACAGCTATCCCTCTGATACTTGATACCAAATATTCCTTCAGCGACTTAGAGGGTAACAAAAATGAAGATGGTATCATGAGCTTTCCGGCTCAACCCAAGTCTTCAGATGAAGTTCTGGTGATCGATCCTCTGGGGTTCACTTTAGTGGGGCTAGAAAAGATAATTTAAATCAAATGCTGAGGGAACCCCTATCAGCGCCCGCACTCAAAAACGTTATGCAATAAAATAAAACTGTATTTAGAGTTTGTCACATACATATTCCCAGAGAACAGCGATGATCAGCGGATTATGAGCTTTCAAATACCACCTCACAAGATATGCTGTGGACAACTTATATCATCATTAAAAAAAGAGGTGCACATTAGGATACACACTGTTGCAACGTGTATATAATTTATTCCCATTCACCTGCTTGCGGTGGCTGTCAGTTAAAGGAGTCTGACATCTGAGACCGTACTAGGAAGAGAAACCTCAAATTTGGTGTGCCATTCGAATGTGTCATTAAGAGACGGCATTACACAGAATTTGCAGTGTATCTTCAAAATGCAAATTCACCCAGTTCCCTTAATATTGAGGACTACGAGAGACACACTCTGGTCATTTGTGAGTTATACATGGTTATACATGGTTAATCTGAAGCAACAGTACGTTACTCTATAGGCCTGCCTTAGCACAGCCACTGGTCACTGGTCACTTGACCCCACTCCCTTAATGAGAACCAGTGCCTGACAATCCATTACCCAGTTCTAGGTTGTGAATCCTAGCCTGAAAACTACTGGATCTCCCCTCTTTTACATATCGATTTGACACCACTGTTCTTCTATTGCCATGAGATGGAAAGATCTTCTTGTAACTAGCCTAGCCCTGTGTTATTTGGGGCTTATATCCTGGCTCAACTGCAGATCTCTTCTGTGATGCTGAAGCAAGACATTTCTTTTCTCTGTGCCCCAACTCTGGCTCTGTGACATGGAGAAAACCTTACGCTAGCTAAGAGAGAGGTTGTGATGACCAATCCAGTTTGTGAAGATCTCAGAGAGGCTACATTGATGAGGACATGGAACAACGTAAGGACATTTATGCACCCTGTTATAAAGCAGGCATGTCTGCTTACACCCACTCAGAGGTGGGCAAAGGGAGGCAAAAAGAATTTAAGATGCAAATTTTCATACGTATTCCCAGGCACCCTGAAAGAGTGACTGCTTTTGAAAACACTGCCTCTGGAATGTTTGACTGAGTAGAGGTAACTGCATATTGCCCAGTCTGGCAGATTTTCTTCTTTCAAATAATTCCTCCCTTCTTCAAAGAATATCCTAATTGAAAATGGGAAGTAAAAATAAATTTCCAAACCAAAATGGTCATTTTTAATACAATTTCTATTGATGGTGCAGAGGAGGACAAGGGAGCCCAGGAGTGCAGAATCTATTTCCCTTTCCTGTGAGCATCAGCAAACACTGGAGAATCGTATGAGATCTAAAATTTTCCTTACAGATGCTAAGATCCCCATGTCTGGGAGCGGGGAGCCAAGCTACAGAAAGTACTTTGATAAAGTGTCAATTTTCTCTACTATGTGGATTAAACCATAGGAAAACTTCTCTCAGACGCTCAATATTTATATCACTTCAGAAGGTTTTATGTGAGGTCTTCCTCTTAGCTCTGTTGCCAAGTCTTATAGGCTCTGATGAATAGAGATGGTGGGATAGGTAGGGCTGGGGGACTGGAAGTGTGAAATGGGTATAGGTGGGCCGGTAACTGATTTATGGGTTCACAGGGAGACACGGATCTGTCCTCTCTCTGTCTGTTGGGGAGAAGCAATTGAACAGTTGGTCTCCCATGTTGCCGAACAGAGCCCTGGTGACAGCTATCTTCTGGATCTCTTTCATGGCTGGACTATGCTAATCCCATGCTACTTGAAGTCAAGGCCACTTATGTCATATGGAGGTGTGTTCACCGTGCAAGGGCAATAGGAGAGTTACGACACTGATATTGAAAGGCTCCACATATCAGTGTTCACCGTGCAAGGGCAATAGGAGAGGTACGACACTGATATGTGGAGCCTTTCAATATCAGTGTCGTAACTCTCCTATTGCCCTTGCACGGTGAACACACCTCCATATGACATAAGTGGCCTTGACTTCAAGTAGCATGGGATTAGCATAGTCCAGCCATGAAAGAGATCCAGAAGATAGCTGTCACCAGGGCTCTGTTCGGCAACATGGGAGACCAACTGTTCAATTGCTTCTCCCCAACAGACAGAGAGAGGACAGACCCGTGTCTCCCTGTGAACTCACAAATCACCTATACCCATTTCACACTTCCAGTCCCCCAGCCCTACCTATCCCACCATCTCTATTCATCAGAGCCTATAAGACTTGGCAACAGAGCTAAGAGGAAGACCTCACATAAAACCTTCTGAAGTGATATAAATATCGAGCGTCTGAGAGAAGTTTTCCTATGGTTTAATCCACATAGTAGAGAAAATTGACACTTTTCATGCTATTCTGCATTGTGCTCAGTGCAGACTGTCACAGAGGAGGCACACACTGTGCTCTCTCTCGCTAATGTTACGCTTGTTGTTCCTTCATATAAAATTCAGCTTAGGGTGGTGGAAATCACCTTTCTCCTCCTCATGCCTGTGCACAAATCAGGTGACAAGAACCGCACGGAGCACGGAAAGAGTTGCACAATAGCACGACGGTTCACCCACAGAAATCAAACATGTCACCCTTGGAACTGCCCAATGAAATCAACACCAGCAGAAAGAAGAGGAAAAGATTTGTTTTTCTTCCTTGCACCTAATACAATCAGCTCCCTTCCATCTTTCAAACCATGGAACATAGCTATTTTAATTCGCACACAGAGGCAATAACCAAAGGCAGTCCTGAAATCAGTAGGTACCAGCATCCCTTGTTAAAATACAGAAATACATATAAAAACAACGTAATAATAAACAATACCACCACAGGCTGTGTGAAATTATATCGCTCTGGGCGGGGAACTGAATTCAACTGTTTCCACTCCCCATCATTCAACCAGCCCAAAGATGAACAGTTTCAGGGACTAGTTAGGAGTTTCTTCATGGCTTTCCTCAGGGCATCCTTCACCTCCCTGTTCCTCAGGCTGTAGATGAGGGGGTTCAACATGGGGATCACCAGTGAGTAAAACACGGAGGCAATTTTGTCGGTGTCTGTGGAAGAGCTGTAGGTTGTTTGGAAATACATGAAAAGGAGAGTGAAATAGAATATTCCCACTGTGATCAAGTGGCAAGCACAGGTGGAGAAGGCTTTGCACCGACCCTCGGCAGAGCGGATCCGTAAGATGGTGGAGATGATGCAGACATAGGAGAGGAGAATGATCACAACACTGAGTATTAGAATGTAACACGTGGAAGCCAACAGCACAATGTCACTGATGCGGGTGTCAGAGCAGGAGAGTGCCAGCAGTGGGGCCATTTCACAGAAGAAATGCCTGATGATGTTGGAGCGGCAGAATGAGAGGCGGAAGGTACAACACGTTACTATCATTGCATCCACCAACCCCACAGCGCACACCCCAGCCACTAGCTGGTCACAGCGCTGCCTGGATATCGTGACCGTATAAAGCAGCGGGTTACAGATGGCCACATAACGGTCATAGGCCATCACAACTAGCAAAAGACACTGACCATTCGAAAATAAGCCACTGAGATACATTTGCACAGCACAGGAAGTGCGAAAAATGCTTTTCCTCTCGGCTAAGAAATCCAGCAGCATCTTGGGGGAAATTACTGTGGAATAGCAGAAATCACAGAAAGACAAATTACCGAGGAAAAAGTACATGGGGGTGTGGAGTCGGGGATCAATCATGATTAATAAGATCATCCCCCCATTACCTACCAGGGTGACAACATAAATCAGTAGGAACAACACAAACAGGGGGACCTGCAGCTCCGTACGATCTGTCAGTCCTGAGAGAATGAACTCAGTCGCCTCCGAGTGATTTCCCTCTTCCATCTCCTCTGAGCCGCGATCAGGCAGTTCCAGAGTTGTGGGAAGGGAGATTAGTTTGTAGAATCTGTCTCTTCACTGTAATGAAGTCAAGCGAAGAGAAGCGGAGCTCAGTTTCATAACAGGTAGCCCTACCCCAAGGAAGGGCTCAGTCCACGGATCCGAATGTTCATAGCAGGTCATTCCACTTGTTTGATCAGCATCACACACGGCACACATACAAGGACATGCAGGTTAAGCATCCCCCACACTCACAAACTCTCCTGAAAACTGATTCAAACAGCACACAGGGACTTTTGACTCTGCTGTGGGAGAATCAGTGTTGAACCATCTCCGTGTGAGGAGATTATTGTCTAGCTGAAGAAGGGCAGAGCGTAAACGAGTGTCAATCTCTCTAACGTGTACTGACAAGGGAAGCTCTGGGGCTCTGCATGTTACTCTGGGGTGAAACTTGCTCACTGTGATAATTAAGCTCTTTGGAGTCTGCTAGCAGCATTTAAATTAGTCTCTATGAAATCCCTGAAACACAGAGGGAGGCGTTGGCTTCTGTGATTACCTACTAGTCAATTGTTTTTGTTCAAAGGTCTCGTTCCTTTAGCTCGGTGGGTAGGAGCTGGGACTGAGGCTTTTATTGCTGGAGGACTTCAATTCAGTGCCTACTAATCACGGTGTCCCTACGAGTGTGACTGACATTGGAAAACAGCACGTACCTGTGGACAGCAGAGAGAGATGTGGCAGTGTTTCTCCATCGACAGAAACCGACACTTTGGTGCAATTGGGAGGTTTTATACTGAGATTTGTGATCTATGGGACAGGATCCCTAAAGCCACTGGGAATGCCTGAGCCCAGAGAGGCACAACAGCTAATGAACTCAGCTGATACCCGGGGGATTAATTTGGTTCTCTCTTTCCCCCCGTGTCCATAAATTATGCAATTTCTATCAGAGTTGCAGAGTCCAAGCCTGAGGGATATTTCATTCTGCTCTTGTCACTGCAAGCTGGGCCCTCTGTAGAGCTGACCCAGAAAGGGTGTGTTTGTAGGGACCAAAATCTTTTGGCTGAGAAGTTAATATTTCAGCTCAGAAAGAAAGAGACACAGAGATGCCCCAGGTACCACATCCCCCCCTTCTCTGCCATGGGCCCGGCTCCCAGGCTGGACTCCATCTCCTCTGATGCAGGAGGGTCTGTCCTCCTGCAGAATGGTTCTGGGACATCATTAGTGTCCCACAGCCACAGGCCATTTCAAATTCAGAAATTCTATCCGGGGTTAGTTCTGTCCATGTCCCCTTCACTGAGCCATGAGTTCTGGAGCTCCCTGAACACCTGCTCTTCAGAGACTACCATGCTTTCCAGTAGCTTAGGGAGGAGCCAATCACCATGAACACGGTGATGTTAGGCGGGACATGACTTTTTTTCTGTTTATTTCACTTTTAGAAAGAACACCCCAACCTTGAATGCTATTCTGGTATTCACTTAAATGCAGACTGCCCAAGAGGATGCCCACAAACACTTCTCTCTGATAGGAACTTTATATTTGTTCCTACTTCTACTCTTAACACAGTTTGTCAACATTCTGATTAACGACATCTTTCTACACTTGGTGCATGGACAATGCACCAGGTAGGGAGAAGCGTGAGATGGCTGAGGTGCCCCACATCTCTGCCAACACAGAGCACTGAGCACATGCAAAGCACATCACATGTATCTGTCTATTTATACATGAGCTTACGGGTACCTTTGTAACTCAATAGCCTACTGAGAAAGAGTCCAATGTCAAGTGAAGCAAATCCTGCCAGACCTGACACATTGATTGCACCCAATGTGTTGCTGGGATGGGTATTGATATGCAAAGAAAATTGGGTAAGATCGCAAATAGAAACAGATCAAACTGGCCTTCAAAAGCCTGCTGTGATGGAAGCATGACAGAGCTCTGGCCAGGTGTCTCGTTTCTGGATTTTGTGGGGAGCAGCCAGATCACTGATGCACCCCTAGGGGGGGCTGTTGGCCCCAAAAGTGGTATAAAAGGGGGCCATGTGGGGTGTTGAATAGAAGCTTACTTTCTGCTAATCCTATGTACGATAGTCATGTGATTGTATAATATCTGTGTGTGTAGTTAGGAGTCTGTAATCTGTGTAGATACTGAATATTTCTCTGCATGTGGTTGAGCAGTGGGCAGAGCCCGGCCTATGGACATGCTAATCAGCGAGGCCCTGCGGGATAATGGCACTCAATGGGCCAAGAACACACCTAAAAAATGAGTGATGACTCATACCTAAGGGCTACCAGCAGGATACACAGAGGAATAAGCCGTGGGTCAGGTGACCTTCTTTAGCCAAGAAGAGACCAGGAAAGAGGAATAAATAGGCCATGTGGTGGACTCCATCTTGGTCTTCAGCTCAGCACTTCATCCCAGAGGCAGCAATGCAGGAATCAAAGAGCCAGAAAGACCTGTGAACCCATCCTGATCCTAGGATGTGCAACAAGGACTTTTAAACCAGCAGCTGTAACATCTCTGCTAGAGCCTGCATCGAGAACTGGGAGATTCGATGCATGTAATGTACTATTCCTTTAACAACCTTATTCTCATGCTTTTCTTTCTCGTGGTAATAAACCTTTAGTTGTTAGATGCTAAAGGATTGGCTCAGCGTGATTTGTGGGTAAGGTCCAGAGGGTAAATTGACCAGTGATCTGTGGCTGGGTTCTTGGAACCAGACAGAACTCATTCGGGGTAGGGGGGATTGGGTTCTAAGGCCCCCCACCGGTGTATGAGGCCCGGGGCCATCTGGGGCACGGATATTGCTGGGGCGTCGGAGGGGTTTTGCTCGTGAGGCTTCAGGCAGGCAGCTGTAGCGTTCTGTGGGACTGGTTTGTGGCCTGTTTGGGAGGGTAACCAGTCTGGGGGCTGTAAGGAGCCCCGGATTTGAGCAATTCACCCTGAGCAGACGCCCTCAGCTGTGCCCAGACACGGCCTGGTCCGTCACACCAGGTACCAATAACATGCTCAAACAGTGCAACCCAGTTGACCAAATCAAACAGTGTTGGTTTGCCTTGGGTGGGCGGCAGGCTGAAAAAGCAGTCGGAAGAAGATAAGAAAATTACTGCCGAATTTGCATATGTTCTTTTGAAAGAAAAATGTAGTCTAGATGCACCCCTAGACTTGAAACCAGAAAGCCACAGCCATACTGAAGACTCCACTACACCACCAAACAGACAGCAACCTTGCCAGTGACTTTCTACCTTCAGCGGGTAAGACTACAACGGTTCTCTGCAGTGTGAAAAAAAAAAACCCTCTTTCGAAAAAGCGGTCAGAGGAAGATATGGAAATTACCGCCAAATTTGCACGTGTTCCTTCAAATGAAAAATGTGGTCTAGACACACCCTACATGATCTGAAAGGAAAACCCTGCACAACCTGCCACTAGGATGGGTAGCCCCTAGCTGTTCGGCTTCCAGCCTCTTATACAGTCTTAGCAGGATACCCCTGCGAGGGAAACCCTGTGGAATCTGCCCCTGCAGGGAAACCCCGTAGGATCTTCTGAGGTAATTCTGGTTCTAACTGGAACTTGTTTACCTCTCTCTGTAAAAAGGCGGGAAAACCTTTGCCTGTGAGACCCAGTGTCTCGGCACTGACCTTCCATTTTGTTTTTCAAAATGGATGCCCTATCCTATATTTAAACATTAAAACCTAGGATTTTTACCCAGAACAATCTCCTCCTTGAAGGATATATTCCTTCACAAAACTAACAAATCATTCATCCTGGGGTTTTCTGATCAAACACGGATTTAACCTTTTGTTGATTCTTTGTTTTCACAGGTTTACAATATATACAACCAGTTAATACAATTAGGTAAATTAACATGGATCCTTGAATAAGCAATAATGCAGCAATAGGGTGCAATAAAATTATCCAAGTAGATCTAACTTCTCCCAGATTGTTGGTGAAAATCATTTTTCACCACGGGGAAGCTTTGGTCTCTGCCTTTATCTTCTTGGTAATACCTTTTATGTGACCCATGGCGTGTTGTACTGTAATTAATGTACTTAAACCTTCATGCTCGAGTTGTTGCAAATACTCAGCAAATTTCTTATGTATTAATAACTTTTTCAAGGCCTCCAAGTCAGTACCTATGTGTATAAGATGTAAAGCATTGTAACATTTATATACCTTTAAAAAATCTTCTACCTCAACCCCATGCACCGATACATTTACATCACATGCTTGCAACCTTAGTACCTGGTACAAACACAGATTTCCCACACCTGTGTTGGAAACATAGGATTGGTTTACCACATGGGAACTCAAAAAGTCCCAAGGATCTCAGCTGCTGCCACAGCTACTACGGAAGTAGTGGCCTCTCGTTTCCCAAGGCTCCGCCCCTTCTTCCAAGGCCACGCCCTCTTTACCCAAGTCTCCACTCCTTTTTGGAGCACAGAGTCAGTACCCTGCACCTTGCCCAGGGGCTGAGAATTCTGTTGTTACTTCTGAGTACCTCCACCTCATGTCACCTGTTCCATATTTGAGTGACTTTGTCCACCCATCTGGTTGTGCAAGAACTTCTCCTAAACAGCAGGAGCTAAGGCCAGAATATTCAGTACACAGTTTCCTCTTACTGTAACTTAGAGCAAGGTCAGGGTTTGGTTGTGCCAGGAGAATGGGATGTATCTGGAATGGGACTGCTCCTCAGAAACCATGCTGAAAAGAGAGGCACCTTAAGAAAGAGTCGGGAGAGGATATTCACACCCTGGATCTGACCCAGCTGGTGGACATGCACCCCTCCCGCACTCTACCCCCTGGAGCTGCAGAGGCCATGCAGAGGCATTTCTCACCTGACCCTAAGCTGCTGCAGTGAGAGAAGGTCTGGTGTTGTTATCTCTCTGCTCAGGACATCCTACAAACTGAACCCATCCTCCCGAGCCCCATCCCAAAGCAATGATTTAAATGAAGAAAAAGAAAAAGGAATTGAGCTAAGG